CTCGGTTTGAATCTTATGAACTGTTTGTTTCTGGAAATTTACTATTTTTTTCTGGGACCGCGGTAAACCACAGATCACTTAAACCACGGTTACTGAAACTGCGGATACGGGGGCCCATTGTATAGAAAATCCAACAAGAATAAAGGTAGAATTCACCAGTGTAAATATAGCATGAGTTTAGTAAATCTTTCATGTAGGCTATAGGGTATAAAATATCTGCTATGGAAGTATGGAGTATAGTAACTTAATGACACAATTAAGAGAGAGATACCTGAAGGCCATGTGTACAACGCCACCGTAAGTATTAACTCATTAAGAGAGAGATACCTGAAGGCCATGTCTGCAATGCCACCGTAAGTATTAACGGTGGCACATCCTGAGCAGCCAAAGATCTGCTGGAGCTGCGACACAACAAAGAAACCAGTGATCAGTTACTGGTTTGGCTCAGACCACTGCCACTCTCAGCGTAGCTATTCAAGAAAAACCAGCTGGTCTGTCAATATAACAGTGAGCTCAGTTATTACCTAACAAAGAAAAACGAAGGGTCTTTGCCAGACTTGCTACATTTATTCACTAAATTAAATAACTCAATAACTTGAATTAGCTCTGTGTTTTTGGTTTTAGTTAGAGGCAGCAAAGAATAATTTGAGATTTACCAGGATGGCAACTTCTGCCCAAAGGTTCTCACAGTAACTTGATGCTGGGTCTTCAAGTGACTGGCTGTAGATACGGTTGGTGATCCTCATAGAGAGCACAAAAGATGAAGATCCCCCATTATCTTGAGTCTGGATGGGAATTCTGGAGCTTGATGGGTGAAGACGACGTTCTGGGAGGCCCTCTGCTGACAGAAGGTAGATTATGGCTTAATGGAAAGGTGTCACAGTACATAGACCTGCGTCAGTGCAGCTCTGACTTTGACGTCTCTCGTGCTCTGTTTCACTCATATTCATTTCTTAAATAGGTTCTTGACCTGGTTGCACTTCTTTTGCAGTTGAAACCTTGACTCTAAAAATGTTCACCATTATCAAAGAAGGAATCATTGGCAAGAAATCAAATTATCAATTAAAGCAGACTGATGAAGGTTATAAGAATAATGTTTTTCACCCATGCTCTCGGTACTGGGCATGCACACCTGTACTCATGGATACGCATAAAAATGACTAATAGATTTTTTTGATATTCTCCACATTCTCTATACTCTTTAAGGTTGTTGAGAAGTTCTCAAATACCACAGGTGGTATAACATCTTCAATCCTACCATTCATATTGTTGTGTTTATATTAATAAAATATACTAAAATACAGTATAATAATTGACTGGAATCTATGTAGGGTTTATATGGGTTTGACTGCTGCTCTCGGTGTGGCGTTTGCATTCTCTCCCCGTGTTGCCTGGGGATCCTCACCGTTCACAGAAATGCGTTTCGTTTAACTGGCACTGGCTGCTGGACTCAGGCTCCAGGAGACCCTGACTATGGTAAGTGGTTAGAAGGTATATGGGTGGGACAGAAATAAGGGATGGATGCAAAGGAGAACCTGATGTCCATCTGTGGAGTAACTACCTGTGTTTTACTTCATATCTGCAGTCATCATCGGTTTACTTCACCTGCTTACCTCAGTCCTCATGTTTCCATAAGGATATATCTATCATTCATGCACAGACACACACATATGTTTGAGTAGCAGACATAAAGTCTGTGGAGTCCTCATACCTTGGTAGGTCTCAGTCTGACAGAAATGACTTCTTACCTGTGAGCGTAGAAGTCAGACAAAGTATAATCCCCAAAGAAACCAGCGGCTGTCGTGTCATTGTGAGTCACTGCCGGCGTGCAGAACGACCTGTAAAGATAATGGAATTCTTCTTTTTAAATGTAATAAAAGCTTTAAAAAGGTCAGGCTTATATGCAATGTCAGTTTACTGCGGACTGACTGGAGGACCCTTTGTGATCTCTTATATTCCTGGGCTAATCAGACACATTCGGACGCCCCCGCGCCATAATCTTACCCCTTTAGTTTACATTATGACTGTATCAAAATTATCTCGGCATTTGTTGATTTTTTATTTATCTGGTTTTCAGTTGTGACCATTCAGGGAGCTACTTCCTGTTCCCAATGTCAGTGCATGAGGTAACATCAATCCCAGTATTTTGGGCCAAGGGGATTCTGGGAGTTAGATCATTTTAACATCCTGTTGTATTCCCACAATTTTCTTAACACCTGTCCCACACTGACCAGATGTAGAGAGGACAGTTACAAAATGCACAAGTAGAGACTGGTTAGTTCTGGAGTTCCACAGATCCAAATTGTACACGAGTAAAGAAACAGTCAGCAATTCATGTGCACAGGACAAAAGGGTACTAGTCCTTATCTGGCTCTGTTGAAGGTAATATTTATATTTTTAAGATTTGATTTTAGTTTTCAGTGTTTGATAACGTTTTATCGCTCATCACAGCAGGAAATAAGCCTTTGCTAGTTTCCTTGAAATCAGAATAGAAAAGAATGTATGACGTGTGTTTCTCTGTTTTCTTACTTGACTCTCATTGTAGTTTGGGCTGCTGCTGGAGATTCAAACCCCACGAAAGCGTATCATATTGGGCCCCCAGCCCATTTTCTGAAACTGCTTATTTTATTTAGGGATGCAGGGGATCCAGAGCCTATCCTGGAGACTATGGGCGCAAGGCAGGGAACAACCCAGGATGGGGCACCAACCCATAGCAGGGCTCACTCACACCATTCACAATTATGGGCAAATTGATCATTTCAGTTGGCCTTGGACTGTGGTGGGATACCAGAGCACCCAGAGGAAGCCACCACAACCACACAGGGAGAACATGCAAACTCCACACACATGGGGTCACGGGCGAAACCTTGAATGCAGGTCCCAGAGGTGTGAGGTGTTGGTGCTGATCACCGCACCTCAGTGCTGCCCTTGCCCCTGCTCCCAAACAAACCCAATTAAGTTCCAAAACTTTTAGGGACCCGTCCTAACTTCCCCCACCCTTTGTTTTGCACCAAGCAGTGCTCAGAAATAACCACTGTTTTGGCATAGGACTAAAAAATATCAACAGATGAACTCATTCTGTAATGAGTTGATCTCAAGTCAGTCAGCAATGAAGATATGAAAATATGACACAAAAGTTGAGTTGATGAGACATTGATGATTAGGAAATGGTTTTAATATTATAATGATTATAACACCAATAAATGTGACATCTCAGGCTCAGCTAGGAGATACTTTTAGACTTTCACTTCGATGGGAAGAGTATTAGTCTCTACCGAGCCATTGCAATGCATATATTTAAAAAATGGAATATTTTCTTTGTTTGATAGCAAACAGCATTCATGCTTATCAAAGCCAGAAATTTATCTATCTAATCTATCATCCATCTACAAGTGTTCAAAAGAAAGGTTTTTGACATTTAATTTATAAAGTTACACAAGAAATTGTATTTCTGCCAGCCCGCCTGCCCTTACCTACCTAACGCTAAACCAACTGAGAACCACTGACTTAGAACACGGCAAGTACCGGCAGTTAAATGGCTACTTTGTGTGATCATACAAGGACGTCTTAGCTGGATTATTAATTTGTGAATTCACCACAGTATATCCTCCATTTAAATGAATAAATGGAGGGGAGAGGTGTTTGATGTCGATTTCAAATATCCATAAAACAGACTCTGCATTAGGGGTGTGACTATGATGGTGCTCCACCGTGACACATTTGACAGTTATCACTAGCGTTGTTCTACATCAGGGTTTAAATGATGGCGTCACAATACATTAATATATGTGACCACATTCATTATCGCAATCACAGAAACAATAACGTGTCGTACGTTTTAAACTAACTGTAACTGACTAACTAAATGACGGTTTAGCTGTGACGACCCTCTTTTTTAAATACCGAAAAAACTCCCAGATTCCTTGAGTCCTCGATCCATTTCTGGAGTCTCCGGGAGGGTCGGCAACCCAAAACGTGTGACACAGCTGTAATTACCAAAACAGGCAACGTAAACCTAGGCTGTACATCGTGACAGAAGACTGTCCGTCATGTTATGCCACGGTGCAAAATGTAACTTTTCTGTAGCCTAGAAATTTGCAAAAACAATTGCACAGACAAATTCACGTGAACCATGTCACAGACACATTCTGGGCAATGTTTGCTGTGTGAACTAATGTAGATAGATTGTCAAAAGCTAACAGATTGCATTGTGCTGAATAGAAAAACCAGAAGTCGGAACACATGAGGCTTAGATACTTAAAATGGGTTCTATTATGGTGTGTTCTATGTCACTCTCCATGGGAACGAGAGTGATGACGGGAAAGTGGGTCAGTCGGTGATTGGCAGCTGACTAATCTCGCCCGTCAGCAGGCTGTACTGAAGGTGAACCACTTCGAGCACTGGATGGGCCAGAGTGCACTATCACGGCCTTATCTGCAAAATACAATTGACAATAAGCCATTTAAACATGAAGTCTGACAGAAAATGCTTAGATAAAATTAAAGAAGAAAATAACGCAAGAAGCGAAAAATGTTGACGTATAAATGGTGCGTGTCGAAGTCCAAGTTCACAGGTTATCGTGCTGAGGAGATGGAAGTCATCCATGTCCAATAACCTGGGACTTCTGAGCTCCTAAGGGAAGAGCTTATAGGAAAAGGTTCACCTCAAACTGGGGACTAAACTCCCAAGTTAAGTCCAAAGTCAGCTTGTTTTATATCAGGGAAAAGAGCAGGATGACACTTGCCAATGAGCCCTGCCAGCGAGCGGATTCCAGCCAGCTGTGAGGGGATCAGGCAGAGGTCTGCCAGCAGGTACATCTTTAGCTCTGCTGCCGGCAACTTTAAATACTGATTAAAATCTAAATATCGGGCAACAATTTTGACCAAGATTGAGACTGATGCTGATATCGTGATTTTTAACGAACATCGTCCAATACCGATACATTAACGATATATCGTAGACTTCTAGTATCAGTATCAGTACAAAGACATGCACATAGGTCAGTTAATATAAAACGTTTATTCAACAGTGCCAGTCTCGGTACCAATTTAACATCGAACTACAAACACTGAACGAACCAACAAAAGAGACATTGCTTAAAAAAACAACAATAACCATAATAATAAAATACAGCACATGGAAATAAAAAGCACGTGGCATATGCAGGTCAGGACCCCATGACAGCAACCTCTAAAGGGCAGGACATTGGTAGCTCTTTGTTGTGTGTGTGTGTGGGGGGGGGGGGATAATCAGCTCACATGGCAGTGAGAAAATCACGATGGTGGGACAGAGCACAGTGCCACCCACTGCAATCTCACTTAGGAAACACACTGCAATCCAAGGGAATTGTGGGATTAATGGTGCGATTACAGAGGAAAAGTTCTTACTGTTGCCTGTGCTTTAAGGGCAATGGCAGCTACTCCAGTTTAGAGGTAGGCTAAGAGACAGTCCAACAAAACAAATAAATCAATTTGGGATTCAGAGGCTAAGTGGCCCACAGCCCTGAAGACAGATGTTTGGTCCAAATGCTTCAGTGATACGGCATCCTGCAGGGGGCAGAAAGGGTTTGTGGTCCACACATACCAACAGCAGGAGCGGGAACCCCTCAGACACTAACAGCTGCAGGGACAGCAGAGTGACCTCGCCACCCGAAAGCACCAACAGGCCCTCACCAGCAGTGGGCGCCCTCAAGTAGCCAACGGTGGGATTCAGAGGTAGATGCTCAGTGAGGAAGGCCACGAGGACTGGGGAGAAGACAACGTGCAAGCACACACATGAAAAACTCAGGAAAAATGTGGTGAGAAAGGAATAGAGAATAAGCGAGAGGCCACAGCCATGAAGGCTGGCCAGCAAGGGGAGAGAGAGTCCAAATTACTTGTGTACTGAGTAAAGCACAAGTGTCTGGTGAGGACAGGACAGAGGACCTGCCATGTGGCCTCGTGGCTGCCCCCCGATGGTGGGAATGTGCCAATTGACGTCCTTTAGTGTGTGTGTGTGTGTGTGTGTGTGTGTGTGTGCGTGTGTGTGTGTGTGTTTAGGGGAAGTGTGGTTCAGTGTTTTATTATTATTATTCTTTTTATGAGGTTCAATTTTCTGCTTGCACACGAGCTGCTCCAGTTACTGGTGGTCCCACGGGGCCAGAGGACATCCCATCAGGCTGTGTAGGGGGAGGGGCTGGGTCTGTGGGGGCAAGTGAGCAGGTCAAAGGTCAGTGTCTTATTTTGCCCAGCACTGCACCTTTCACATGGAGCAGGTGGGCTACTCACACATGCCATTGGGGGCTCCTGGGTGCATGGCACCCATCATGGGGGGCATGTTGGATGGTGGAGGGGCTACAGGCATCATGCGGCCTGGCAAAGGCTGACCGGGCCCCCCCATGGCACCTACGGGAGAATGAGGGAAGTCATTCAGAAGAGAGGTGAGACGATCCGCTCGCTAAACGTGGCCGTCCTACGTCGGCCCGGCCCTCACCTGTCTGTGGAGGGTGGTGGGACCCCATGGGGTGATGCATGGGGTTGTAGCCCTGGGGTGGGGGCCCATGCATACCAGCAGGGGGGCCGTGGTGGCCCGCAGCCTTCTGCTGGTCAATCTGCTGACGTGCCTTCATCTCCGCATACTTCAGCTGCTCCATGTGGAAGGCCTGTCGCTCTGACAGCAGCTGCTGCCTCTGCTGCTCCAGCTGTGTTCAAGGGGGGGGCGGAGTCAAGAGTGTGAAGGGGGTGGGGTTATGAAGAAAGAGGCGGGGTTATGAAGAAAGAGGCGGGGTTATGAAGAAAGAGGCGGGGTTATGAAGAAAGAGGCGGGGTTATGGAAGAGGAGGAGTCAGGGACAACTAGGTACACATGGACTGACTCAAATCCATAACCACTGAGCTCTGTGGATTCTGTGATTAATAATCCGCCTGTCAGAGGAAAATCCGCGTGAGCACTTGTATGCTCCAGGACAGCGGCAGAGGTTCTGCTGAGGAGAAACCTGGGCTCTTAAAGCTCGTTTAAAGCTCGGGAAAGCAAGCAAAGCGATGCTACACTGAGGTAGTAAATGACCACTGGTTTACAGGTAAATTACTGATAGAAACTCACAAGCAACAAGGACCATAGCAAGCTGTCTGTTGAACAGGAGATACCAGGAGACTGCGCAGAGTACCGAGTCTCTGAAGCACCCCCCAACACAGGCTGACCCGACCCCGCCGGCGACCCCCACACCCACCGCTTCCTTCTCACGGTCCATGATGGTCTCAAGCTCCTCAAAGTGCCTCAGCTTGATCTCCAGCTTCTTCATCTGAGTTTCCACCAGCAGGGCCACCAGAGATTTGATCTTCCGCTCTTCCACGGCAGCCAGGTGCTGGGGAGGGGAGGGATGGGGGAGCGGATCAGACGACTGGGCAACTCACTGAACCCATAAACCACCCAGATCAACCAGCACAAAAGAACCAGTAATAAAAGCACTACATACAAGTAACTTAGTACCACAAAGACATCTAAAAAGCAATTCAAAAGAAGTACTTTGCTGGTTGTGGCCCGGCCCAGCTGGAGGTCTCACCTTGGCCTTGGTGGCCGCAGAGGCCAGAGCGGCGGCGGCTGCGGTGGCGATGTTTCTCTCGCTCACTTCGGGGTCCGCCTTCCTCACACCTTCCTCACCCTCCGGCTCCTTGGAACCATCTCCGACCTCCATACTCTCCTCCTTATCCTTGTCTGGAAATAGCCGCAAGGCCACGTCAGGGCCCACCGGACCTTTACAGCTGCTACCAGAATCCCGGCCACAAAGTATCTAAATAGGCCACACCCATTTAGAAAATCTGTCCAATCAGATGTAAAAACCAGACACAGGGTAAACTGTGCACTATACAAACCCGTCTTGCTTTCCTCCGTCCCCTCGCCATCCTCCTGCTGTCTGTCTGCCGCCTCTGCCCCCTCGCTCTTCATCTTCTCGCTCTCTGGGGGGCGCTCTGCAGAATCACCTGGCTTGTCAGCCTCCTCTTTGTCCTTGTCCTCGACCTGAGGGAAGTTACACAAGTGAGGAGGGGCCCACGGACACAGAGACACGGGACAGCCCTAGTGAGGAGGGGCCCACGGACACAGAGATACGGGACGGCCCTAGTGAGGAGGGGCCCACGGACACAGAGATACGGGACGGCCCTAGTGAGGAGGGGCCCATGGACACAGAGATATGGGACAGCCCTAGTGAGGAGGGTCCCACGGACACAGAGATACGGGACAGCCCTAGCTATGAGGTAATAGGTCAGAATCCCAACTTAAAATAGGCCATTTTAATTAAGAAGTTACTGACAAAAAAAGAGTCCAGCAGACTAGGCAGTAAGAGATGGCAGTGGGCTGTCCTTGACCCCTGACCTCTGACCTGTGTTACCTTTTCAGTCTGCTGGGCTTCAGCATCAGTCTCCATCTTCTCAGCATCTGCTCCTTCTGAAAAGGCCGGGGGATGGGGGGGTGGGGGGGGACAGAGAAAAACAAAATCATGTTAAGGCTGACAACAGCGTGAGGTTAACAGAGCGAGTGCTAGACCTATAACCCTAACCCACCAGCGTCATCCTAGTAACCAGGGAGAACAAGCATTTAAATACCTAACTTTAATATCCTAGGTCATAAACTAATATGGATTCTCTTTGTTAATTAAATTATGACTCAAATCCACAAAAAGGAGGAAGCAGGTCCCTGGTCACAAATAGTCTACACAGGAAGGAAGACAACCAAACCGACTTAGCCTACAGGTTAGACACATCTAGACAGGCCTACGGAGATCACAGGCATCCATTATAGAGGAGCCTGGCTGGAGGTAGCTACAGAATGGATGGAAGATTAATGACCATCGTGACGGGTGGAAGACCAGTGAAGATGCACAGCCTGGACCCGGTGCCCTGAGAATCGGCCCTCTCACACAGCTCACCTGCCCCCCACCTACAGCAGAGAGGTGGGGGGGGCCGCTGCTAACATCAAACCACACAGCTGCGGCTTCGGAGACCTCGCTCAGGGCGCCCAACCTCACCGAGGGCAGAACGTTGCACTTTCCGACGACGAACTCAGGTCACGCATTTGAAAAGTTTTCAGGAGTAAAGTAAAGGAGAATGCTCACTGCCCCATATCTCGACTGTACAAGCAGCTGATGGGATGGTGCACTGAGGATGAGGCCCCATCAGAGAGGTTAACCTCGGCGTGAGGCCCTAAGGCTGTAGCGGGGAGTCTCAGTAAACACAGAAGTTCAGGTCCGGTTCTGCGGCAGTTTGCAGGCTTTGTGGTCCTATAGCTGCCAGCATGGTGCTACAGCAGCAAGGGCTCAGAGAGGCTTGGGTTCTGCACGTCTCCCCCCATCGCTGCTCTGTCTGCCACATGGGCTCTAATCCAACCTTGACACACACAACACAGACAAAGACACACTACACAGATACACAACACAGACACACGGACACGGGGACACGGACACACGGGGACACGGACAGCAGCCTCTGATGTGTTACCATGGAGAAAAACATCCACAGCCCCCACCATTACGGTTTCTGTGGCTGGGCTGCTGCTGCCCCCTGCTGGACACGCACTGAACAGCACAGCACACTCACACCCCCCCTGAAAAGAGCAGCATCCATCTGAAGCTCTCAGACAGGCCGTTTAACCGAGCTGAAGGATCAGCCAGCCCCCATGCGCAGGTAGGGTGTAAACACATGGATCATCGGCGAGCCGTAAGCCTCTTAGCTCCAGCTTGCAGATGTGCTTGGGACCGACCGCGCGGACGGCGTGCGGCGAGCGTACCCGGCTTCTCAGGCTCGTCGGGGGCCGTGCCGGCGATGCCGCTGCTCTCCAGCCCGAAGGCAGGCTCCAGCTTGCCCGTGCTCCGCATCGACTCCTGCACTTTCTTCACGTGGGCCTCCACCAGTTCGGAGGGGACCTCCTCCCTGACCCGCGAGAACTCCTCTGTGAGGGGGGACAAGCACCGGGTCAGCTGGGCACCCGCACGCCCGCCACAGGACCACCAGGGCCGTAACACCAGAGCTCACCAACAGGTGGCGCCAGACACCACACACACACACCGACACCCACCCAGGGCAGCCTTTGCCGCCGCCGCGGCCACGCGGGGGTCCACCACGGACGCCAGGAAGGCCACGGTGCTCATGACGGGGTTCCCCGACTGGCTGAAGGGCACCGGCTGGTAGGCTAGTGGGCCCAGCGAGGCGTCTGAGTTCTCCAGGTACGGGTCCTCGATGGGCAGCCGCAGGAAATGCAGGATGCACTCGTCCTGCGTGCGGCTCCCCACGTGCTCCGACACCTTGTTCCAGTCATCCTTGTACATCTCCAGGGCCTGTGGAAGAGCGTGGCATGATGGGAAATGGAGTTCCATCAACACAGCTAATGGCAGAGAACAGCTCTAAACAGCAGGAAAATGACTCCCCAATCAGGGATGGCTGCACGACTGCCCTGCTCACCTCCAGCAGCAGCAGGGTCTCCTGCTCTGTCCACTCCCGCCCAGCACTGGCACCTTTGCTCTGGGGGGG